GTGGCCAATGGAGAATAATGCATCATGGAAGAACACCAGGATTTTTAAAACTTGACCCTTGCAGTGGGGATACCCCTGCAATGCAAGGGTTGATTTTTAAAAATCCTGGAGTTCTTCTTTAACAGAAAGTGAACACCATTAAAACAAGCACACATACCTGTGTGGACCTTCTAAGAAGACCTACATTTTGCTTTTGGGAAATAATTTAATGCAAATACTGTGCCCAAATATTCATAGGATTATTGTTGTCCTCAAAAACCATGACAATCAACTAAAGGGTTTTTGTATCTACTAAAACAAGCTGTGCTAAGGCAGTCCATTCATTTTGAATGGGCTGGCAAAGCCCCTAATACATGAGAAAAATGGTCATGTCCATTTTGGAACACCACAAGAAGTGCTTCGTGGCATGCTGCAAATACATGTAGCAAGCCACTGTGGTAGTTTATTGGGGTGCTATTCAAAATATATGGTACCATAAAGCACCGCAATTAATGCATTAATGTGTGCTGCAGTGACACATAGTAAAGTGCACATACCGTAACGCATCAGTGTAAATGGGCCCTAGAGCTTGATTCACACTCTTCCGTGTGTGCCGTATTGATTATCATATGTTCAGTTTGCGCTATCCCAGTTAGAATCAGCCGTATTGCTCCAATGTACAGCTGCTATACTAATTAACATTATGGAATTTGGCTGGGAGGACACATTGATCAAATCTGCAATTGTTTGTGTGGCCAAAGTCACAAGAAGCACTTGGCCTTTAGAAGGTCCATAAATCATTTTAGTGCCATACATTGCTTCCAGACACAGACTTTAGACACGGTAAATACGAGGGAGAATCCAAAAGTGAAGACAATGGGGTCTATTCACGAAGCTGCCGAAGGATCTGGCCGTAGCTTCGGCCGATGCTTCGGCTCCAGGACCCCTCACCTTTAATCCCGGGATCCGCTGCCCCATTTAATCCCGGGACCGGCTCGGGAGGGCGTCAGGAGGAGGAGGGAGGGAGATCAGCTCCTTGCTGTTCTCCCTCCGTAGTGTGAATGCAGAAGTGATGTGTATTACATCACTTCCGCATTCACCTGTCAGTCATCTGGCTCCTATGCCAGATAGAAGAAGCTGATGAAGCAAATCTGTGCTTCATCAGCTTCTTTTGGGGTCTCCAGGTGACATTAGGGGTCTCGGGACCCCTAATGTCTCCATAAAGAGGACCTGTCAGTGTACCTGTGCTATTATATAAGGGGATGGTATCCCCCTATATAATAGCAATAACAATAAGTGTAAAAAAAAAAATCTATATAAATAAAAAAAGTATTTTAAAAAAATCTGTAATTTTTCCTTAATATATAAAAAAATAAACACCCCAGTGGTGAATAAATACCACCAAAAGAAAGCTCTATGTGTCCCCAAAAAAGGGTATAAAATTCATTTCAGCACAGGGCTGAAATGAAATTCAGCAACAAAAGTGTATTTTGGAGGTGTTGTGCAGTGTTAGTCACAATAAATGGCACTGCAGCATACCAATGCACCTAACATGCATTTACAGCCTATTACTGCAACGCAAGCGCAAACCACATCTCAGAACAACACAAAACTTGTGTATTTTGTCTCAACAGTGGAGGAAACTTTACAGTTAGCTTGCACCTTCTTTAGTAGTTTGCCCTCTACTGTTCAGACGCAGCACTGCATCACAATAAGTGACAAGGAACGCACACACTAGAAAGCTCGTAACATGCATGTGTGTGATTTCTATGTCCTTAAGCACATTTAATAGGTGGTGCAGTCACATGCATATAAAGTGGACCTTGCATCAGTCCCCTGAGGCATGTGACTGCACCATGCATTTTTTCATGTTAAGTTCACTCATGCTAAGTGATATGTAGGTGAAGCTCTTGCAGGTATTTATTACCTCTTGCATAGATTACAGTACCCACCAGGACTATGTCGTTCTCTGCTTTCTTTCCAGAAAGATGGAGATAGTTTTGTTAAGACATCACCCAGTGTCGGCATCTACTTCCCGGATTGAGATGCTGGCTCACAGATGACACAATCATAATCACATAAATCCTGATCCCTGTGCTGTTCTTGGCTGTGTTCACAAACATTTAAACACAGATCAGCCCACTTCTGCAGGCCCTTGCCTTGCTACAAGTTACAATGTCAGGGTTATTCACCAAAAGGTGAAGGGTTTGGAGAAGGCAGGATAAGTGAACAATCTAGGACAACATACCGGAACTGGAAAGTGAGCTGAATTGGATAATTTCTCCAAATCAGCTATGTTGTCCTAGAATGTTCTCTTCTCCTGCCTTCTCCAAACTCTTCACCCTTTAGTGAATAGTCCTGACAGTGTTGCAGTCTGATCACTGGGAAGAGGATACTGAAAAAAATGGCTCCTCTTGTCTGATAAAATCCTCTCAGCCTAGGAAAATTATACTGTTGCTATCTTAAAAGAGAACTATGACCCAACCTTTTTTGGCCATAGTTCCCTTTATGGTCACAGGAGGACATTTACTATGTCCTCCTGTGACCCAAAACTCAGCATATAGCAGGCTATCCACTGCCAAAAGCTCCTACAATGGGCACGTGAGCATCAGAACTGAACGTCAGAACAATGAAAGAAGGTGGCCTGGTCTGATGAATCATGTTTTCTTTGACATCATGGGACGAGTACATGTGCATTTCTTACCTGGGGAAGAGATAGCACCAGGATGCACTACAGGAAGAAGGTATGCTGGCAGAGGCATGGTGATGGTTGGTGCAATGTTCTGCTGGGAAACCTTGGGTCCTGCCATTCGTGTGGATTTTACTTTAAACGTACCACCTACCTTAACATTGTTGCTGAGCAAGTACACCCCTTCATGGAAATGGTATTCCTTCTTTCAGCAGGATAATGCACCCTGCCACACTGCAAAAATGGTTCAAGAATCGTTTCAGGAACAGGAGTTTGAGGTGTTGACTTGGCCTTCTAATTCTTCAGATGTCAATCCAATCTAGCATTGTGGGATGTTCTGGAAAAACAAGTTCGATCCATGGAGGCCCCACCTTGCAACCTACAGGACTTAAAGAATCTGCTACGAATGGCTTGGTGCCAGATACCACAGCATACCTTCAGTGGTTTAGTGGTGTCCATGCCTTGACGGGCCATGGTATTTACTGAAACCAGATCCCTGAGAGACCAACAATGATTGGATATCATGTTTTACAATTTGAATTTGCACAATTTTACTTATTTGGCCTACAAGCAGGGTTGGCGCTGCCATTAGGCGGCAAACTGTGCAGCAGGCTTCCTGATACCGCTAGGTTATCCCAAGACATGCAAGTGGCCTTCATAAAGATGGCCGAGGAGGGGGGAGAACATGAGCTTTTGTGTTCAGAGCCCCTCCATCGTGACCTCAGCCAGGGACTGTTGAACTGGCTAATGAGCCAAGAGGGGGGCGTGGCTGGCTCAGTGGGAGTGTTTGTTTTCTAGCAGTCTCTTCCTGTGTTGTACCCTTCACAGGCCACATGGGTGTCATAGTGAGGGCCGTGTTGGGGCCGAGTCTAGCTCCAGGAGAACGCTAAGCCCGCTGTGTGTGCTATGAAGGCCTGCTCACACCTACATGTAAAAGTCTCTAATCTTTCTTGTATAGGTTGTATGTTTCTGTGTGCTAGGGAAGGACTGTGGACACCATGGAGGTGACATGAACCCTATGTGCTGGGGACACAATGAAGGGGACATGGACCCTGTGTGCTAGGGAAGGACTGGGGACACCATAAAAGGGACATGGACCATGTGTGCTATGGAAGTGCTGGGGGCATGGACCTTAGGGCTGCATCCTTATTTCATAAATCGATTAGTTGGCCGATTATTTTTTCGATTAAAGCGGATACATTTAAAAAAAAAAAAATCAATAAGTTATTTTAGAATAAAACTGCATGCACATATTTTGCAAATCGCACCACACTGGAATGCACAGCATTGCATTACTGCGATTCCAGTGCGGGCAATCGCATTGCGGACAGGAGGCACGTTTGGGGTGCAAAATGTACATGTTCCCACCTTTTTTCATTTCAGTTTTTAAATAACTGTATATATTTTATTGGACATTTTAATTAGTTTCATGGATTTAAAATAAATAATGTGAATTGAAAAAAAAACAACCAATAATCATCACTTTAAAGAGTCAGGCATGAATATTGGTCGGATAATTATTGCTCTCACTCTGGCGCACACGGCTATACCCGACATGTGTAGCATAATCATCGTTTTTGTACATAGGTGAACCAGACTTGTGTTTCTGTTAGTATGCACGCATTCATGGGGTCGGGGGACTTTACATTTATTTGTTTGGGTATTTTTAAATTTTACTTTTGTTTTTTAACTTCCTGGCTATCACATGGGGGATTCAGAAGCCTCCTATGTGATAGCACATTGAAGGTGACAGGTTCTCTTTAAGGTGACATAAGGGGTCACTTTTCCACTTCCACAGCTAAATGTAAACACATTAGGCAGTGGCAGGGAGCAATAGCCAGCCTGCATTTGGCTACTTCAAATTGCAATAGCCTGTCCACTGGAGAATTAGGAAAAAAAAGGGAAGCTTTTTTTTTTTTTTTGGGGGGGGGGGGGGGGGTGGCTGTGGTGCAAGTAGCTGGTCTTGCCTAGGGCGCAAAATAGTCTTACATAACATTGAAAACTCACTTGGGGACATTTATCAGGCAAATTAGTGATATAATTCGTTGCAAATCATTCTGCCTCCCGTTCAGGTTTACAGTCCTGTGCGTCCTATTTATTACTGAAGATGTGACAGATTTTCACTCAATACAGTCACATAATTAAGTGGTCGGGGTCAGGTTTTATTTTGTCGCAGTGCTACTTTAGAGCAGCTGATGGAGGAATGTATCCATCAGTATGAATTTTGACCATCATAATTTAATGGCACTGAAATGTACAGAATCTAGCTAGTTCTGTCTATGCAGACAAATTAAAATGATAGTGCAAGCAGGCTTAATAAACTTTTAATATAAAATGTAGAATGAAATAAAACCTAAAACCATGATCACAAGTATTGCTCTTTCTTAATATGGCACGGACCCAAGTGAAGCCAATATCTGCTTTCTTTCTTCTGCTGTTGGCATGGCAGGACTCACACCATCTCTTCTTCGATTTAACATGATTGTGTGCTGAAATAAAAAGAGCAAAATATGTATCATTCACTGGCGTTTACTTTTATATGTCAGAATTAAAACACTGAACCGTGAAAGATAAAAAAGAAGGGGAGGTTTGGCCCTTAATAATACAATTTACATGAACCTGAAGACTCTCTCCTCAACCCAGTGGGGCAGCACTGGCTGCATGCGGTGCTGAATCACCAAGCACAGCACGAAGTAGGAAAAGAGCGAGTCACATGCTTTTTCACGATTGAGACATACAGGTATTTTTGTTATCAAATGGCCACCAAACAAAGCAGCATGGGAGTGAAAGGAAGGTAAGCTTGCTGATAGGGTCAGGTTATGACATTTAAGGTCACACAGATAATTATAATGTAGCTTATTAAAATATAAGTATTACTTTAATGATATGCAATGTCTATGGCATGAAAACGCACAGCATAACAAATTGGTATTGTCTGAAATTTTGCATCCCAACAGTAATGAATCATCCTTGGGAAACAAAAAAATAATACCTCTAGAAAAAATTTGTCCAAATTTGCCTGGGAAAGTGGAATTACCTTTTAAGCTATTTAGCAGAACAGAGTATGCAGGCTCTGTGGACTTGTGTACAACCTGTGGTCAATTTAGTGCAATGCATCTCAAAGTTATCTGCTGAATGCCTTTGTCTACTAAGCTGCTTTCAGAAATATACAGAATGTTCTGAGCGTCAGGGAGCAAAGGATGCACACAACAATAAAAAGCCTCACATATTAAATATGCTCTGAGCTTTGGTAGTTGGTAACTCAACGGTACTTCTTTTAAATAATAAAAAAAGTTAACATCTTTAGCCAAGAAAAAGCATTTAGACTTTTTGATTAGCAATAGAAGACAGTTTTATTAAAAAGCAACATATTTAATCTCTG